AAGGATGTCAATTGTTAACAAATCAAGTAAATCATACAAAATATCAAATTTCAATCTAATTCCTTCTTAAATCATCATTTCTCATATTTTCGTTGAATCCATTACCATCCTGGCACTGTGTACGAAAATTTGCAAGTGAAAATGAATGAAAATTGAGACAAAACACTTTGTAATGGATAATATAACATCCACACTTAGTGTCAACTGTCACAACACAATTCACCAACATGAAATTGTAATAAAAGAAAAAAAGAAAAGTTTCGTGAAAGATGAATCCCTTCAAGCAAATAAGAATCAACCAACTGGCAACTGACGTTCATTTTTCTCCCTTACTTTCTATCTCTCTAGAAGACAATTTTCTCACTTTTTTTTCACTCATTTCTTTTTATTGTTTTACAGACGATTTATTGTCTTATTTTATTTATGAATAACAAATCATTTTAATGTGCTCACAACAATCTCCGCACTTCACATTTTTGCTTGATTTTATTTTGCTTTTCTTTTCTTTTCTTTCATTTACTCTGTATGATGCGCGCGAGCTGATGCTTTTCTTTTATTTTTTTTTGCTTTTCATTACTGTGAATATTTTTTCGACATTTTACGAGGATTTAATTATTTTTTTGGTGGATTCTGAGGATGATTGTTATGGGAACTGAGCGTATTGTCTCTTAGTAACATTGAATTTAAATAACTTTTTATATTGACGCTGGTTTATATTTTTGTGGTGATTTTTACAAATTTAAGAACCCCCTCCCACTCTTTATCCCATTCCTTTGTCACATAATTTCAATACAAACTTACTTCGTTCATCTTAAATGATTATTTTTAAGTGCTGAAAATATTTAAGGAATTTTTGAGGATCATTATTTTATATTTGAATCCATTGCTTGTCACTGTTGGGTTTTCCGTTCGAGTTTTACCACTTTCATCTTTAGTTTGAGTCCCAACGCCACAGATGATCCTGATTGAATAGTTTAAAACCTTGTAGGTCCGATGCAAAGTAAATCTATGACATCGAGACATTTGTAACCCTTTTTTGTTATCAAGGGGCAGGGGTTTAGCCAGGATTTTTTAAGTGGGGGTGCCCAAGGGGGGTTTTTTTTGTTAAAAACGAACAAAACCTCTATTTGATTATTGAAAGCCAATTTTATTGTTCTAGCTTTAAACTAATTAGCTTTTTTTTTAAGTAATTGCGGTTTAAAATTTAAGTTTCAATCACAAGGAGGGTTGCCCGGCTACGCTCCTATCAAGAAAGTTCAATTCCTACCAAAAAACTAATCTCTGAATTATTATAAAGAGGTTAGTCTTTAAGACACAATGCTGACAGCATTTTTACAGACCTCACGACTTCACCTGATCATTTAGAAGACTCTAGATACAAATGCGCTTCATACTCAAACTCCAGATTACTCTCCAACTTTAACAATCGACATAACATTTGCTTTGCTTAACTTTAATGGCACATTTTGCATTTTAATGCCACTTTTTTCATGAATCGCTTTCAATTTCATTCTTTAATGCTACTTTTGGATGTTTTTTTTTCTTCTCCTCATCTCATCTCATCGCTCTATAACTGACAAGAAAGAACATAAAATAATGAAAACAGTAAAATTAACAGCCATCGCATGCACACGAACGGCACACAGATTGAGAATGAGATTGAAGTGATCTGCTAATTATAAAAACATGGGATTATAGTTGTCACGCGTTTTTGATTTTTTTCACAGCACCGTTCAACGCTTATGCTCTTTTTATTCATGTTTATTTTGAATGAATTCTGAAAATCGTTTTTAAATTTGCTTTTATTATCGTGAAATGAGACAAAAAGAAATTATTTTTAGGCATTTGCATTTTAATGAACGGCATTTTTTGTTGCTATTTTTCTTAATCCTACAATAAATATGAAAAAAATGAACTTTAAAACGTCTGTGACATGCTTAAGCCGCATGAAAGTTTATTTTTTTCACAGTTAGTTTAAGATTAATTGAAAAGTTTCTGCAGTAAAGGTGGTGTCTATCAATGCCGTAACAAAAAAGTCAACATTTTACAATTTTGTATTGAGAGTTTTTAATTGAATCTATGACCCCCCACCCCCCTGCGCATTAAAGAGTTCCTTAATAAATGAACAACTCCAACGAAAAGAAAATGAAAATTTTCATCATGTCTTTTTACTTCCGCATGATATTTCTTCAACTACAATCAAATAAATATTGCGGCTTGCACAGCTGTACATATTTTCATTCTTATTTGCTTTTCATTCCATAACAACAGAATAAAAGAGATGAAAAAAAAAATTAAATTTAAATTCTGCATGAGAAAATTTATTTACTGATTTAATTTTTCTTTATTTTTTTTTGAATTTAAATTAACGTGGGACTAGGGTTAATGACATAACTGAGGAGTGTTTTGTTTCGTCAAGGTTGCAATGGATTTTAAGAAATTTTAGAGATTGCACTAGAATTTATCCGAATAGCACAAGTCGGTTAATCGAATGAAATTCAGAATAAAGCCTACATGACTATGGCATGGTGTAGACTTCGATTTAAATCCAGCACCATTCCAGAGTCACACAGGCATGGTGCCTTATTTCTGATCTATTAACCGACTTGTGCCATTCGGGTTAGGGTTTGACCTACAGAATTGTATCACATCGACTGTATTGTTTGTGACTTATTTTTTTGGTTTACAACTGTATTCAAATTAAGTTTACTCAACATCCATAAATCCTGGTGAAACGGCATCAGTAGCCTAAATGTTAGAGCGATAGCTTTTCGAGTCAAAGGTTCTAGGTTCAATCCCAGGCCAAATCAAGTTTTAGAAGCTCTTTTTCATTTTACTGTTCCACTTACGAAGCTAAGTTCGTGTGTGAGTGTAGTTTTAAGGTCTTCGGCATATACAACTCTCCTTTGCTGGGGATCCTCGGATATTCTAGCATCTGGATGATTTCATTACAGCATCATGCTTACACGAACCGTGACTAGGGACATTGTAGGGTTCATCAGGTCTATAGACGTACTCGTGTTTTTGCAATGTGCAGAGCTTACACGTGAGTCGAATTCCACTATAAACTGTAGGTTTAAAGAGTGTGGTACAATAGATTCTGCTTTAATTTGAATCGTAGTGCCTCTAGCCCAGCGCAAAACCGGGGTTTTCTTACCGGGGCCAGAGGCACTTCGATTCAAATAAGAACATGATCTATTGTACTACACCCTTTGTGGTTTTTCTCCTGCTCCATCTAATTAGGCTGGACCCTCTCCATAATTTACCATTTTTATCAACAAATCGAAATGAATCAGCACTCACTTCATACGACACTCACGTCAATGACAGATCAAACTCAATCCAACTTAGCTGTTCAGATTCGTAACCTTCAAAAATATTCTAAAACACCCCCATCAAATTCTCAACAAAAAGATACGACCATGAAAACCAGTTTCTCATCTCACATGTACTCACACAACAGCACTTTACAAAATATTTATTTTTTGATTACAATTCCAAAAAGCCACACACTTCTAGAGCTCGTTCAGTCCTTCTATCCTCCATTTACCATCATTTCACATAAGATCTCTCATTTGGTTTTTCAATGAAAGCTAAGCTTTAACAACCGACAACAACAAGAATAAGCATGTCGAGTAGGGGGTAAGTATACACAAGTTGAAAGTGAATAAAAGTAACAAAAAAAAATGTTTAGTTTTTGTATTCTGGTTGCAATTTAATCCAGCATGAAGTAACAAGATAGAATCTTCCTCTAGTGCTGCTGCTGCTGGCTGCTCTGTATAAGCACACAATTTTCCCATGTGAAAACATTTACAATTTTGTATAATCATTTAATTTTCTCAGCATTATGGCATGTAAGGATATGTGTTATTATGCGAAAAAGACAGAGAACATGGCACTTTTTTTTGGAATAAAAGTATATTTTATGGTACACAACTTTTGCTATTGTTTAAAGTTTTTCCTTCTCACTCTCGACATGATTCTCGTGTATCCATATTGTGATAGCTTTTCGTGATGCTAATGTTGTCATTCTTATAGAAATTTATTCTATTACACATTATTTTGCATTGTGTTTTGTTTTTCTTTGGATTATGTAATGAAAATAAGAGTTGTGGGGATATTTAAGCATGTGCGAGATTTTGAACATGCTGATTGTTTATAGTTTTGGATTTAAAGAGTTAAATAAACTTTTCAGTTAAAGAAATTCTAGATTTACAGCAGAAGAACATCTTTAATGTTTTAAAAGTGTTATGTTCTTGGTTGTACGAGGAAAAGGCAAGTAGTAGCTAGCGATAAAGCGTCTTCCAACGTATGATTTAGATCACAATTGATCTGTTTTGCTAGTGAAAGAATCAAGAAAGTTTATTTTTTCTATCAAAGACTTGAAGATGTGCGTTCCAAATTATTCAGGTCATTTAAATATCATCTAGGTCTTGGTGCGAAGCTAGAGGCTGGTTTGAAGGGCTACACCAGGAACCCTAAGGGCTCATTCACTTATTAAGTGACGTCAAAAACTGGGTTTTTAAAACCGCCTTCCTTAAACTCTAGACTCGCACCTCCCCCCCCCCCCCCCCCCCCCCTTAAAAGCGGACGTAATAAGTGAACGGAACTTAACCTATATTTGAAATTTAATGCAAAAAACTCAAGAAGCATACATGAAGGAGGGGGGGGGGGGGATGTATTGTAAAAAAAATTAATCTAGATAACTCTCTCCCAAAATTGAATCGCAGTGCCTTCAGCTGAAAGGCTGGGCCCTTCACACATTATTATTAACTCCCTCCAAGTGACATTTTTATGCAGAGTAGCTTTCTCAAAAATATTGTACTTAAATAGTAAATTTATAATATTGACATTTTAATAAGCCATCAACTTTAAATTATTATCTTTTGTATTTCTAAAATGTTGACTCATTAAAATTATTTTTTGCGGCTGAAATTCCTCAGAATTTACTATAAAACCTCGAACTCTTTCCATTTATTTCAATTCAGTTCCAACAACTGTAAACGACAACATGAAGTTAATCAAAGTCTTTCTCATCATTGGAAGTATTTCTTTAGCTCAATCAGCTCCCAGTATTTGGTCACACTTAAGTCACAATAGAGGAATGCGAGGAGCTCATCATTTATCGGAATTAAGAAAATTTGAAAACATCGTGAGTTCTAAAATGAATGACGAGGATAAGTGCCAACAATGTATGGAAGAAAAGTACGAATCATTACAAAATAATGATTTAAATGAAATTGAGAATTTCTTCGTCTTCATGTACTTCTTGAATACTTGCAATGACTGCACTGCAGAGAACTTCTATGAAGATGTATTAAGGAACTTAATTTTTGAAATGAAACAAGAAATTGAATATGAAGAAAAGATGATTGGTGGATATGAAAAGTTTTCCTGTGGAGTTATTAATCGTACAAATCTTAAGGCTTTTGTGTTGGACATGATAAATCTAGTTTTTGAAGAAGATGACGACGAAAAAAATGCTGGAATTGAAAAAATTGCTGGAGAAACTGAATCAGCAATTGATAATATTGGTAAATGCGTTTATGATCGAAAATCAGCTTTCTAACATGCTGTAATAAAAATTTGACAGAATTTTATGTAAATTAGTATTCAAATAAAATATAATAGAACTTGCAAGAACAAAATATGAAAGCAAAATCCATATAAAATTGACTCTAATCATCACATGATTCCTTCATTCCTCTAGAAAATGATATTTCCTTTATTTCATGTTCATCTTTTTCAACTTATTCTCATAACTGCAATAATGAGACTATAAACTATTTTCCCATGTGAAAAATTTCCACAAAACTACGAGAACAACTATTTTAATAAGCTAATTTCATACCAAAGAGCAAAAAAGTCGTTTTTTATAAAAGAATAAGAATCCTTCCTCGAGTAATGGAGAAATGAAGATGAAAAAAAAAAACTTTATTTTTTTATCTCTGCTGTGGGATAAGCATTCATTCTTTCACGTACGGATTCTGTTCTATGTGAAAAATCATCTGGAAAGAAGTAACGAGAAACTTTTTTTTTGTACTCTTCTCAATTCTCTTTCCTGCTTTCTTTTCCGCTTACACTCGAATGCAGACCCGAGTGGACAAAGTACTAGTTAAAAGCTTGCCATTGACTTGCCTTTTCACGGCGAGTAAGTATCCATTGACGTGCCTTTGCAACTAGACTTAGGGACGACTAATGACATATTTTGCGCTTTCCATTTAACTGGACATAGGAATTGCACATGTGTCTGGTTAATGTCCAGTTACAAAAAAATCGAAATAAAATAAATAACACGTGTCTTTTTCTCCATATTTTTTTCTTTTGTAAAATTTTATTATTGTATTAGTGTAATTAATTAATTTAAGTACACTATCACTTATGAAAAATCTCTAGTAAAAATTGAGTTTCGAACACTTGCGCGTGAAACAATTATATTTACTTAAAAGTTTCATACAAATTTTGGTGGACCTTATATAAGTGATATCTGTAAGCGCTTGTGAAGTATATGGTCAAAAAAGTAAGGAAAATTATTTTTGAGTTTCGAACACTTGATTGATTAGCATGAATGTCCAGTTAAAGTCTAGTTAACGTATAGTTCTCTATATCGTATATATTTCGACAAGTTAAAAGACTGTTAAATGATTGTCCAATAATGGACTTTAACTGGCTGTGTCCACCCGGGAGACTTATTGCCTGAATGCACCTATTGAATTGTGAGTATAATGCGAAATCATAGGAAGAGAAATTTTCAATCCATTTCGTTGGATGTTGTTCATAGTTGAGATGTGCATACAATGCACAATATATGTGGATAGATATATGTAGCAGCTTCTATACTTGTTAACTATTCCCTTTTCATTGTGCATTTTTTCTTCTTTATTCATTTTTCCAATGTGTGCATTTGATGTAAGATGAAATCTGTGGAAAAATACGAAGTAAAATGGAATGCGCATTTAGGTTTGGTTGAGGATGCTGAGGACAATTTTTAATGATTTGAAAATTTGAGTTCAGTTCAATTATTTAGATCAGTTTGGTTCAGATCAAGTTAGATCAACTTAGTTTAAATCTATTTGGATCAAATTGGTTTAAACCAGAAAGGCACAAGTCGGTTAATCGATTTGTGTTAATCGACAAGTCGGTGTGACTCTAGCATGGTGCTGGATTTAAACCGAACCCAGCATGATGCCAGAGTCTTTCCTGCTTTGCACCGGATTTCTATTCGATTAACCAACTTGTGCTATTCGGGTAATCAAGTAGAACCAACTCAGTTCAAATCAATTTAGATTATTTTAATTCAAATCAAGTTTGAACAACCTAATTCAAAAATAGATTGATCAATTTAGTAAAAATCAAGTTAGATCAACTTGGTTTAAATCAAATTGAATCAACTAGGCTCAAATCAAGTTGATTCAAACAAAATAAGATCAGCTTGAGTTAAATCATCTCAGTTCAAACAAAATCCTTTCAACTTATGACTTACAAAGTTAAATTAGCTCATTTTAAATCAAACTCAATCATTTCGGGTCAATTCAATTTATATTTTCTCAGATCAAATCAATTTGAATCATGCTCAATTGGATTAACTCAGGTCAAAAAATTAGATCGTTTAGGAAAAAATCAAACTTAATAATCTCGGAATAAGTTAAATCAGATCAACTCGGGACAAATCTACTTAGATAATTTCGTGTTAAATCCCAGGCTCGGAAACTAGGCTGTATTTAAAAGGCGATATTTAACGGTTTTTCATATAAAGTGGCGGTATTTGGGGGTATTTGGCTGTATATCGAATCTAATCATCAAAAGACAAACCATTTTGAATTGACAGATCAGTTAAACAGCCATAATTAAACCAAAATCCTCAATTTATTCTTCAAAGCTGCACACAAAGGAAACAAATCCATTATGACAATTCAGAATGTAAAGCTTTAATAATCGATAGTATGCTTTATACACTTTCAAGAGCAACAAGAAAGAAGGGAAAATTTTTACCTCATTAGAAACATTTCAAACACATTAAGCGGGATTTCTTTTCCGAAGCTCTTTTCTCTGTACGTTTTTCACATTTTCATCCTCGCTTTTAATATAAAAATTTATGACTTTATATGAAATTTACTTTCTTTCAGCATTACAGGTGAGTATATATATGTGGATGAGGATTGTGGATTTATGTGCGATAAATACATACACACAGAATAAAAGGTATTACATTCGACTATACTCGTATATTTCTTTCTATCCCCCATTTTTTTATGGATACTGAAGAGCAACAAAGTCTTTAGAAGTAATTGCAATTTTTTTTCTCGTTCTTTTTTTTCCTTTATTCTTTGTTGCGAGTATTATTTCCATTGAATGATTGAAAATAATAGGAGATGAAAGCTTTGTGAACAGGATCAGAGTAGTTTTGAATATGTTTATAGGTCACTGGTTTATGAATGAATGGTGATTTATATTGCAATCTTGAAATGGTGTGAAAAATTGATGAAATAAATGAAGTTTTGAATTTAAATAAAGTCTTTGATGTTCAAGTTTTATTTTGAGTTTAAATCATTTTTAGGTTAGCATCGCCATCGACCAGGCTGGTAAACAATCAATTTTTTCAAGTTTCTAAATTTATTCACAAACACGTTGGTCACTTACTGATCAAACGCTGATACTATGCTGAACTCATGCTTGTCTCATCCTAGTTCCAAAAAAGTTCATTGCTCGTCTGACGCTTGTAATACTCCAATTTGAGTAATTTAAGAAAATTCTAAGAGTAACCAATAAGTTGTAATTTTTTTCAAATTCATAGCCACATTTTTCGATGACTAACAGCCAAAAACATTTTCTAATGACTTCACAAAAGTGAAATAAATTTTTTCCTAGCTCTAAATCGTGACAATATCACAGTCGTCATCTCATTACCAAATGACCACGAACAAGAATCGAAATAAAATAAAAAATAATGTGAAATGACAAATGGATGTTATTGACGAGGATGATGATCTCTCACACTGTTGCTGATGTCTGACACAATTGCATGTGTGTATGTGACATTGATTGATTTTAAATTCGAATTTAAGCAACAATTAAAAATCGATTGCTCAATATTAAATTTGAATAATTAATTCAATCGAAAAAATTTAGTTGATGATTGGACATAGGACGATTAATATCGGATTAAAAAGTGATTAATTTAATTAAAGTGAAATAATTTATTTTTTGTGAATTTTGATTAAATTATGACAACACAAATCCCAGAAGCTGTGATCAGGCAATTACCTGAAAAACGACAACTCCATGGAGGTTTCGATATTGAGTATAAGCTGAAATATTCAGGCACAGTACAAACTGACAAACGTACCATGAGTTTTGTCGATAATTTGTGGGGTATTGAAGTGACAGGTGCGATGACATAAAAAAATATATCAATGAATGAGAAATTGTTAAATTTAATTCTGAATAAAATATAATATTGCAGGAGGTGCTGATCAATTTGAACCGTTGACAATCATTGCTGTACGTCGTGTGGGTCTTGCGAGACGAGCAGGTATTGTGGGGGTTGTGAGGCTAAAGGCTGTGATGCTTGATAATTTTTAAAAAGCTTGAAATTTGCAATTTAAATTTCTAAAGCCATAAAAATTTTAAAGACACCTTCTAGAACAAATCCATGGTGCCACAGCCTTAGCCAACCATATTTAAAATAAATAAATTTGACATTCTACAAGAAACAATTCTTTCTAGGCATACGTGTGGGTGATTATATCGTAAAAATTAATGACACACCCGCTGAAGGTTTAACTCTATTGGATGCACAATTGGAAATTCAAGAGTCAGGAAGGCATTTGAAGCTTTTCGTTAAAGGGTAAGTTTTGAGCATTTGATTATGTCTGCGATGTCACATACGATATTTATTTTTAAAGAGGGTTGAATCACTGAAGTGGATTATTCAATTGTTGGATGAAAAAGAAACAGTTTTGTTGGAACTATTGGTGATATTTTAGTGAGGTTGTTTGTGTGCTGCATTAGTTGGATATAATTAAAATGTTATTCAAGGTTTTGTGATCTAGAAGTTTCGAGACATTGTACAAAAAAAATCCTAAATTTAAACATCGAACATTTAAGTTTTCTTGGGCTCTGTATGGCTGTAAGGGTTGATTTCTTGGGATATCCGGGGTGCCGTAGCTACCACCTTAGTCACATTCAAATTTCAGTAATCCCTCAAATTATAGCATCACGATTTTGAAGCTAAGTTATTAAAGGTATTCTAAGGTTAAAGAACAACTCACCCTTTTCTGTAAGACTCAACTCCAATTCCAGAAACTCTCTCTCAATATTAGACAATTTTAATCAATTTATAATTCCCAAATTATTCCTCCTTAAAAAATCATGATCTCAATTTTAATGAGGACTATAAATTCCATAAAATTATATTCAAATTTGCTCCACTGTAGTAAATCCACCCAACCCCGCCACACATCCAACTCAATACAAATCTTCAATGCCGTCTCATTTCAACCATGAAATTGAAGTTCGAGATCGCGTATTTTTTTTAAATTCAACAATTGAATAACTTTTTCATTTTATTCATTCTATCTATTGCTGAATAATTTTGATTTTTTTTTTTCATCTACTCATCTCCCTTTCACGTTTGCAGCGATGAAGACAATGACAGTGAAGACGAAAATGTTTGTGATTTTTATTTTAAGCCACGTAAGTTACTCGAAATGAAAATTGTGCAATTGTTTTGCTTTTCGAGAAATTCTTTTGATTTTGAGGAATTCGAGATTTTTGTCTCAATTGAATGACAGTAAGAATGATAACAATGTAGATTGATGAGTCAATTTTGCATCTTGAGCAAATACTCAAGATTGTTTCTTCAATCAGCTGATTTGAGTCGTGAAGAGATGATGATGATGATGATGTCATGAATGTAGATTTTGTTGTAGAGTTTATCCTAAGAAGCAGGAGGGTAGCAAAGAATTTTAAGGGGGGGGGGGGGGGTTGGGGTGTCACCCATTTTTTTTTGTATGCGAGAATTTTCAGGATTTTTTTATAAAAATCCTAGCAAAATGAAGAAATTTCTTTGAAACTAGCAGGATTTGTTACTTAAATCTCTACTCTGGCTACACGCTTGCTAAGTAGATAGATAGACTTTAATGAAGATAGTGAAGTCAAGTATCAGGGACTAGTTGTTTCGATACTCAATAGATTGACCTTTGCTATGATTAAATGCTCCGATTCCTACTTCACGCCTAGATTTGACATTCATCTGATTAAAAATGATACATATTGAGTCTAGAAGCCTCATTGAGTAGCTTTTGGCTTAATAAACTAATGATGCCGGGGCCATGATCTTTTGCACTTTATAAAACTGCAAAAATTGTTATAATGTCCCCAAAGCTACAAAAAACTCTTAATACTTAGCAATGTTGCTTGGAGGAGCCAGGAGGAGCTTTAACCAGACTTATCAGTTATATCATCAATCCCGAATCTCCAAAGTTAAATCTCAGTTTCAGTTACACGATTATCATCAAATCCCCATATAACTTTCCGTTCCATCCATAAGCTTTAAATCCCTGTAGACAACTTTATATTTCATACCTTTCCTGTCTCATTAAATTTCCTTCAAAAATTATCAACATTTTCATCCACTCTCTTCATAATCTTTTTCCATCAACTCCTTCTACATTTTCTTCATTTTTGACCTTAAACTGAAACTTATTTAACTTAAATGAGGAAATTAAAAAATTGTCTCTTTCGATACTTTTTTCTCTCTCTGCTTCCTCACAACTCGACATTAGCAACAAAAAAATCTGTTTTAAATTTGAAAATGTCGACTAGATGTTATAAAGTTGAATAGGAAGAGACAGAAAATTTCATTAGTCACTTCCTCTTTTCGTGCCTCCTCAGCTTTACGATTTAACCCCCAAAGAGAGATTGCATAAAATATGAATTGAAGCAAAATTTGAAATTTCCTTCGTTTTCCTGTAGGAGATTCATGAACAATTTTATTTTTGTATGCGCGAGAAGAAGAAGCAAAAAAAAATCCAATTTTCCATGCCTGAAAATCTAATTTTTAACATTATTTTTTTTTATCCTATTTCGTTTTTTCATTGCTGCTGTTCTTGCTATAATCACAAAAAAAAGTCTCTTCACGGGATTTAGATTTGTTGGAATGGGAGCGACGTCGAAAGAAGAAGCGTGAAGTAAGACAATAATTTGCAAATAAGTGAAAAATTTTGCTCATGTTTGCTAATTTTCTTGTTTTTCTTTTTCATAGTTGAACATGTTGTTGTACCAAGGCTTTCCATGGAACGATCGAAGACGTCCAATTTACAAGTAAACAAAAAATTCTTTTTTATTTCACTTCATGATTCACACTAAGAAGCTAAAATATTCAGATATTTGCATTTATTTGAGGTCGAAAGGGAGCTATTGACCATCTGGTTGTTTGTATGTCTTTTGAATGCCTTAATGTCGATCAGTTATTTTTTTGGCAATATGTTTGTATTGCTAGCTGATTTTCAGAAGAAAAACGTGTTTTTGGCATGTCAATTTAACATAAAGCCAATTTTTGTTATGAAATCGTTAATTTTAGACTGAATAATTGATGCTGGTAAACTTTTGCCAACTTTTTGAAGCCATATTAGTCAATTAAGTATTATATAGTGCCTTAAATATGTTTTAAAATTCAAAAAACTTTTTGAGGTGGAGAAAAATTTTGAATTCGCCATTTTGAAATTTTGAAAATCTTTTAATGAACATGTTTATCAAATTTAAATTAAAATCGACAGTTAAAGTCAAAAAATTTTAATGCTGAACTGGGGCAGTTATCAATTATAAAACTAGTTTAAAGCTTAAAGTCAGGAACAAATCTTTTAATTTTATCGCAAGAAGCTCACACAAAAATCAAATATTACTTCAAAAAACCTCAAAATGCATTTCATTTCTTCTTCAACCCTTAATATTTATACCATAATTCCTCATATTTATCCCCTCAGAGAATCAAACTGCTATCTAGTCCCAAGCATAGTCCTCGTCAAGCGTGAGAGAGAAATTTGTATGAAAGCAACAAAAGAAGAATATATGAAGAATTTGCACGAATTGGCAGCACAAAAAGAAGAGCAGGAGCGTTTAAAGAAGATGGAAGAAGAAGAATCATCAGAGGAATTTGAGGCACTCGCGAGAGAATCAACACAGCAGCACGAAGAAAGTTTACAAGAGGAATTTAGCGAAATAATTAAGACAACATCAAGCGCTGAATAAAATGAATTGAAATATTTTTTTTTTGTTATTTCTGAGTCAGAATTTACACCTCAACGGAATGTTAAAATCTAATGAAATAATTTTTGTTGTAATTTTATGGAAAATTAACTTTAAAAATTATTATTTTTAATGAGAATGAAGAATTTAGAGAAAAAAGTGATGAAGAAGAAAAGTAATTTTAATTTACTAATTTACAAACTCAAATAGCTTTAAGATTTAATCTTACTTAAAATACTTTTAAGAGTATTTTGTCCCAGGAAGTTGAAGATTTAATAATACTGCAAAATGATTTATCATAATTATATGTACAATAATTATATTTTAATCATACGAAATAAAAGTTCAAAGTAAACACAAATTTATTCAGTTCACTAAACTTTATGGATATCCACATATGCTGAAGCCACAAAACTATTCGAAAAACTTTTTTTGATTGACTATTTGAATTCACCACATTTTTTTGCGGTTTTGATAGACTATTAAATGGAATGTTTTAGAAAATATTTCGAATTTGTGTTGCAGACCTCAAAAATCTCATAGATTAAAGTGGATCAAAAAGCATTAATATATTCACTATTGATTGCTGTTAATCAGATGAGTTTTGCAAATTTATACCCGAATGGCAAAAGTCGGTTAATGGAATGGAAATCCTGCGCAAAACTGGCAGTCCTTTGGCATGGTGCTAGCTTCGATTTAAATCCAGCACCAATCCAAAATCACACCGGTTTGGTGCCGGATTTCTGATCGATTAACTGACTTGTGCCATTACGGTATGGGATTTAGCAATACAGTTCATTAGCCCCCGATAGCTCAGTGGTAAGAGCTTGCAACTGGAAATCTTTAACGCGAGTTCAAGTCTCACTTGGAATCCGTTATTCATTGTTACTCTTTTTTCTGCTGAAGTTTTGAAGCCTTGCTTTCTAGATGTGTGTATTTACACTTTTTATTCAAAACGATCAGATTTGAAATGATACAACCCTATTTTCGAGGCAATTTTAAGCTCTGAGATTCTAATAGATCTATAATAATATAAACATTGAAGCAATAACATTGATTTTATAACTAAGATCCGCGACAATACTTCAAGTGATGCTTTGGTAAGAATCGAATCAAATTGACTACTCAAAAGTGTCTCCTCTACCATAACTCTTTGATTAGTTCATTTTTGGTTGGTTTTAAGAATGTAGTAGGTTTGTTTTTAAGAAATGTCATCCTCTTGCTTCTATGTTATTGTGCCATCTAATTAAAACCTTATTAATCACATCCCTAGAATGAAAGATTCAATAATTTACTAAATCTTCCCAAAATTAAGATCCATAACTCATTCCAAATTTGCTAGTTGTTTCAATTCTTCTTGATTTATCGTATCCTCGTAATAAACCTTTAATCCATAATCTCGGTCGTAGCCCATAGCAGTCAAAATATTTTGGTTTTTCCTTTCCCAAATCACATCTCGTGTCTCGTCTAGAATGAAAACCCATTTAATTACATCAATTATTTGAAATTTAAGATTAATTAAAAATATATTCGAACCAATTTTTTCTCTCCACAACAATTATAGCTCCTTCCATGAAGGCACACGATATCTTCATTTTATGTACTAAACAAATCAATTTTTCATTTCTTTTCATAGTCTTTTACTTGAACAATAAACGTTCAACTGAATTGAGCTAAATTTTGCTGTATTTTCTTTTGTTTCAGTCACGAGTAAAAGAAGAAAGGAACGAAAGAAATTTCGAGCATAGCAAATAACTCACGCTAATCACTCAATCAATTATTTCTCATTCTCGTTCTCTCATTCTCGACTTTATTTTTTTGTTGTGCACAAAATAAAAATTTCAAGTAATCAGTTATTTAAAAGTTAAAAACGAATGAACGAGATAAGGAAGAAGAAGAAAAATTGCATGACTGTATCTTGGTCTTGTGCTATTGTAGTTGTGCATCGAATTTTCACGAATTTAAATTTTTTCTTTCTATTTGATTTTACCCAGTTTTAAAAAAAATTGCATTTACTGCAGGAAAGTCTTTTTTCTCGACGTGCGTGTTTTTGACAATGAGTGAAATAGACTGCAACGTTTTGTCTTTGTTTTTAAGAATTTCTTGAATTTAAGTAAAGTATTCTAAGGAATGATTTGAAATAACAGCACATTAAATGCACGACTCTTGCTAATTGAACAGTAAATCTCATTTTTAAAATCAAATTCATGACAAATCGCTTATTCCGTCAATAGAACGATAAGGCAACCTTAATGATTATGTTTTATTCTCGCAATGTATTATTTTGGTTCATTGCTTGAGATATTCCACGGGAAAAGACATGATTAATACCTTCCCGATCGGCATACATTGAAATTCATTGAAATGTTTCCAACAACCAAGTTTGTAGACCAAACGGCAAACAATTGACGTCTATTTGGAAATGACTTATAAGCAGCACAGGGACAGAAATTTGAAGAGGGGGAGACAAAAAAAAAGTTTTATATGGAAAATTCAGAGGGGGGATTTTTATGATTTTTTCATAAAACTCCTCAAATCTCAAACCTCTCAAATCTCCACCCCCCCCTCCCTGGTTACGCGTCTGAAGCAGCAGCCACTTGGTTCTAATTATACCAATCAGGCGTATATATATCAGACTTTTTCAACCTATAGTCCTTAGGTTTGTTTCTAGATAAGTTATTTACGAACTATTAATTTAAGAACCACTGTCTTAAAGCATAAAAAAGTCAAACTTAAGACTTATTTTACCAAAAAATTAAATAATGACTAGAATTGGTCTGAAGTGCGTCGCACTTTAAATTGAGAACACATTTCTTATGTTAGGACAGCATGAAATCAAGCCAGAGCTAGAAGTCGATAGGGTTCAAGTCAACTCGAATCGTCTTCATTTTCTCGGAGTCAACTCCGAATCGACTTTGAGCTCTGAATCAAGCTAATAACTGCAACGCAAAGCAAATCAGAATTTCAATAAAGAAAAGCACAAGTCAGTTAATCGATCAGAATTTCGATACTAAGCTGACGAGGCTCTAGAATTTCGTTGAATTCGATTTAAATGCGGCTCTATGGTGATGTTGATAATATTAATAATAATAATGTGTGAAGGACCCAACCTTTTCAGCTGGAGGCACTGCGATTCAATTATGTGATGTTGATAAAGACGCTAGAGTAATTAATATCACGACTATTCAGAAGGTTAGAGCTGTCTTTAGACGATCACTGAACGCAGAAATGAGCTCACATGCGAATCAGACAACAATCTAGGTCCAGGTCTATTCCTCACAATTTCATATAAAGATTAATTTAGAAAAATGCGTTCACAAAGACTTTTAATCATCAACTTACTTACATACAACATTTCATCAATTTTACAAATTTGCTGTTGCAGAGTTTTCAACAAAATAGAATTAAAGTTTCAACAATAGATTCAATTAGTCAGTCAATTAAACTATATCAGAACGAGTGTGTGTTCATCTCTCAAGCTTTTTTTAATTCGTACAAAAAATAAAAAGAGAAAAAAAGAAAAAAAAAAATCTAGAAAAAGAAAGTTTTTAATAATTTTCAACCCTCGTGTATAGTTACAACTTGTTTTATTATAGTATTTTACGTCAGATCGACAGACAAGACAGAAAACAAGGAAAAAAGGTGAAAAACTTTAATAACAAATAAATCCATATAAAATCCATCCTTATTGTGCAGGTGCGTGCTCATAATTTTTCATTTCCCATTCCAATTTAAATAATTCTTTCTTGATTGAAGAACAAAAAAAGAAAAGTTTTTGCAACTTCTTCAAGTTTATTCTTCCTATCTATTTATTAATCAACGAGCATATTGAATGAAAGACGAACAAAATTTACATAACAGATTAAAATTTGAAGGAAAAGAAAGAAAAGTTGAAAGTTCCTCGTAGTTTCTCGCCGAGCAGCCGAGCATGTTCTGATGTCATACTGTCTGCCGCATCAATCAAAAAGATTATCTTACTCAATTTTTTTGGGGTGCGGATGAGAAAAATTGATTAATTCTGTTTGGGTTCAGTGGAAATTGTTGCGTACACAACAAGAAGATTTTGTAGACATTTTCATTTAATTTCCAATTTTTGGATGATAAATTGTTGTGTTTATGCTTTAATGTGCCCGCCCTCCCCTTTTCATATTGATGAGGAAGTTAAGCTTTCGTGTTTTGAATATTCATGAAAAAGTTTGGTGAAGGGATGGGGATGTGGATGCTCATTTGGGTATATTTTGTGAGAAAATCTTCAGATTTGTGAGAAATTCATGCAGGCTTATTCAAATTCAGTTTGGATTATTTTTTGGAGAACAGCATAATTCAAGAGCCTGAGTTCTGTTCTACATCCTGATCGTTCAATGTTTTTGATCATTTGATGTTTGAGGTTAGCTGGATTTCGACTATAAAATCAATGCAGATTGTTATAATTTCAATAATATTGACAAGAAATGACGATAATGCCTGGACTGGTCTCAATTTGAGCCCCCTTAAAAAAAATTTATCTTTTTTAACTTGTGTTTTAGTGAAGATTGAGTTTTGAGTAATTTAAAGTAGTAATGGCCAACCTTTGTTTTAATACCTGATGGTAAACTTTGACCAGGACATACGCTTCGTGACATATGCCAAATCATTTCACGTTACACGAGTTGACCATCACTGATTTAAAGCCATCTTAATAATAGAATCAGTAAAAATTGAATATATAGTGTGACCAGCAGAATAGAATATGAATTAATGTGTCATACTAGGGCGAACTTCCTATTGTGATAGTAAGACCTCTGTGGCTGAGTAGATTGACTCAAGTCGTAATTCTTTAGCTCTACCTTTTATGAGATTGAGTTCTATTCCTTGAAGCTGATCTCTCAATCATTTAGTGTTGTTGATTAAACAAGAATGCTTATTACTTTCGCCTTAATATGGATGAGTCCGTCCATAAGTCTATTCTGGTTTGACAAAGCAATTTTGCAATTAAACAACATGACCTTGAGTACAACAACAATGTTCTCAAGATCAAAACAAGTGGTCAGATTTATTCATTTAGTGGTTATTAAACCATGTTAAATGACAATAAAGTAAATGTTGAACAAAAAATCAAAAGCTAGTAGCCCGAATGGCACAATCGATCAGAAATCTGGCACTAAGCCGGTGTCTCTGGTATAGTGCCGGATTTAATTCGAAGCAAGCACCATGCCAGAGTCATGCCGGCTTTGCACTGGATTTCTATTCGATTAACCGACTTGTGCTATTCGGGTGATAATCAAGTCCGCAACAAATGCGTCATAAACTCTACAAAAATCTATTCTAAATCATAATTCTCCATTTCATTTTATTTTTCTGCAGACAATTTATCAGAGAATATTAAATAAAATAAAATATACGAGAACTATCATGTTTTTAAAAGCATCATGAAAGATTTCTGTCGGAAAATAATAAAAAAAATTTCTGCAATGAAAAACTTTTCCTTTCAAATTTATTTTTTTTTATAATTTTGTTTATTTTTTTTTTCTTCTCATTGCTATTGTTTTGTTAAGGTGCACTTCTGCCTTCATGTAAATAAAATTGAATGAGAAAAACTGTTGATAGTTGATGGAACTATTTTTTTTTTGTTAACTCATGTCTCGTTGAAAGTTAAATTGTTTGCATTTCATTTAATAATTTTTCTACTGTTGTTTATCATCATCATGATGAGTTGAGAGGAATGAAAAAAAAAAGTTTTGTAAATTAAATGCAATAAAATTAGCACTTGTGTCTAATGTAATTAGGAAATGTTACTAACACAATGATGCTTAATTGCATAAAATGAAATAAATTTGTGTGTTTATATTTATAGTAAGTAAATTCTTTTAATTTAATTTTAGCTTATTGTTTAATTGTTTAAAATAGATTTTTATTTCGTTTTTGTTCTTGTTCTGCTGAATAATGCGTTTTTTAATGCACAGTTGCTAATTCTTGATCATAGTCTGTTTAGTAAGGTTTAATTCTCCATCAGTAAATATACAAAAGCATCTAGACAACAGTTGATATTAAGTTTTATTAGTTTTAACGTCTTTTATCGAGTTTTTGATATTAAAATCTTTAGAATCACATCCAGTAAGCTAGTACTTCACATATCAAGGTTGGGTTTAAAAATTAAAATTATTACTTCAATGAAATTGTATTCTTAAGCCACCAAAAGCTAGCGCAGTGAAGAAATTTCAATTTAATCAACATTGCATATAAGTCGGGCATCATAAAACATATAATTATATGCTGACCTTCTGCTTGGTTTTTCAGAGAACAGTCCTTTATCTTTTATTAATTTTTCAAAAATAAAATAGATTTGTTTTGTTCTGATTCGTCCAGAAAATGAATAAACTTGGTAGACACGTAAGATGTCCTCTATTTTACTTTCAGGTACTCTATTTTTTCAAAAAATATCTGGTCACCTTATACAATTAGAAGTCTACAGTAAAAAGATTCTGTAATTGCAGTTCTTATTTAAGATGCCAAGGACAGAGCATAGCAACGAACCTCCTCTTTTTGAAGAAACTCTTCAATTTGCAAGGGATTATTTTAGAAAAAAATCTGAAACCCCCTAAATTTTCGTGTCCATACAAAAGAAAAAAAATTCAACTTCTCTCAAAAATTTTTGGTTCCATCCCCGACCATGGACTGCTGAACTTGATCTAATTGATTTTCGATTTTAATAAAGCTTGTTCCGAGTAATCCTACAAATTCATAAACTTATTAAAATATTTTTAAAAAGTCATTCAAATTCACCAATCAATTATCTTATTCACGTAGTCACCAAAAAAATCATTCAATATTCTCTCAACTCACATGTTCCTACTTGAAAAATTCCCAAAAAAATCTTTCAACACACATGTAAATTTTCTTTAGGTCAATCAAAGCATTCAGCTCAAACTTACATTGTATCCCATTTTTATTTTTCAATTTAAGATCCCAAAAAAGAAGTAAAATGCCTGAAAAAATCACAAAATCATCCACAATTCACTACGATGACGAGAGTGAAACCTCAGAAGCACTTGATGATTATGATGAATATGACGAAAAGAATGACGATGACGTTAAGGAAAGTAGCGATGATTCAGATGAAGAACTAAAAGATATAGGCGAATTACTAGGTTTTCGCGTGACTGGCGGAAAGGACTTTTTCATGCCAATCACAATTTTTCATGTATGTATGAATCTTATGATTACTTCCTCATCCGCAATCATCCATAAAAAAATATCTCTTTATCGAATGTGAAACAGGTGAAGGAAAACAGTCGCGCAGAAAAGGCAAACTTAAAACTCGGTGATGCAATTTTATCAATCAATGGAAGAGACACGGAAGATATGACATTAGTTCAGGCAAATAGATATCTTGGCAAAGTCGCAGGTGGTGATGTAATGCTTCAAGTCGCAAAGTAATGATTACAATTTTCAATTTCATATGCATGCATATCTACTTTATATCTTATGTATGCATACATACTTATGATCATCATGATTTATATGTGAACTAATTTGCAATTCAATTTTTTTGCTTCCATTTTGCTTTTTTGCCATCTCTCTACCGTCTCTTTATCCTATGCTGCTGTAGATTTGATGCAAACGAAGATGATGAAGATGTGCAAACGATTGAAGAGGTTTTGCTTGAAGGTTTGTGTTTGAATTTGTAAGATTGATGGGATTGATTCAATGGGTGGAAAACTGTGGATTCTTTTTATAAGTGCACTGGATTGAATAAGCAACATTTGTGCTTCACTTTATTTTTTGAGAACTGATTTGCAGATGCGAGGGTTTTGAATTTAACATAATTTATTTAAAGTGGAGCTGTTTTTAAAAGTTTACTGTTTTAAGTTAGGATAGTTCTAGATGAGTTGTGATTATCCTTTCAAAAATTGTCATTTCTGGATCTTCCCTTAATTTTCAATGATACTATTTTGTATCTGAAGAGTGTAAAATCTAAGGGAATCGATCCATATGAAGGCAATTCTATTAGTGCTTGAATAAGACCTAGAGCTTGAAGTCGATTGGATTCGAGTTGACTCAAATTGATTGAAATAAATGAAGTCAACTCGAGAAAAGTTGAGTGGACTCGAAAAAACCCGAGTCATCTCGAGTAGACTTCAAGCTTTGAGAAGACCTATGTGGACAAACAATTAACGCTGTTTTTTAACGATCGAGCCTTTTGTTTTTATCATTAGCCAGCCTCTTAATCTACATACATGAGTCCTTCCGTCCTAAATGGAAGTTCCTAAGCAACTTTGTTAAACCTATTGATTCAAAAATGTCCAAGGGATGTGGTAGGCCCCTTATCCTTGCTATTCCAACTTACACCCTTCCAGTTTTCCTAAAAAGATGAATAAAGCCAAAAGAAGTTTATACCGCCATGTAAAGAGTTTGACTATGACGATAAATTCCAATAATTACAATATAGTTGATCAAAGTTCAGCTCAGTGTAAATGGAAACAAGACGTTGAATATAGTAGCAAAATCTAGCTTAAATCCCTTCTCTAAATGTTCGAACCCATTGAAGTTTTAAAAACGTTGCTATTTTTGCTACTTAAGCACTATTCTGCCATTTAAGTTCACATAGGTTGCATTATTCTTTCATATCTGATCAAAAGATTAAATTGCAAAAAGTTTAATGCATCACAACTTGAAATAATTCATCTCCAGCATAGAATTTTGATTGCACCAATTTAGTAAAAAGAAAAAGTTCTCAAACCAGCAACTTAATTGCCATTTTCCATCAAAAATCTTATTCCATTATCTTACACAATTCTCTTTTCATCTCCAAAATCCACATTTCCTCACTTGATATTTCATTCTACTTTTAAGGTCCCGTAAGTCTTCAACAAAAGCTTCGTCAAATGCAACAACAACTATTGTCAACGATGACAGATATTCCGCCACAAATACAATCAAAACTTGCAATGGTTACGACAGCATTAGAGCAATTTATGACAATGGATCCGGATACACTTGAGTCATCATGGAATCATCAAAATGATGAGAATGGAAAATCATCATCAATGGAACGTGAAGCATCGTATGAGGATGAGAAGCAATTTTCAACAATTGAGGAAGAGGAAGTGGATGAGGATGAGATGGATAAGAACTTTGAGCACATTGAATTGGATGAGAATTTGTCAAGTACACGCGAGACTTCATATTCTTTTGAAGATTTAGCTGTTGACGACGATGAAAGGAAGCGACTTGAAAATGGCAATGACGATGATGATGATGAAGATGATTATGAGAATTGTGAGGAGGAGTCCATTTGTGAGTCCATAAAATCAGAAGAAATGATAAAACTTGATGCGGAGAAGAAGAAGAAAAATGAAAAGATTCAAACTTTACAAAAGTCGTGGCAAAAGTTATGCGAAAATCAAAAGACCATCCACAAGTAAGTTCCGCATTTATTCATGAAGTTTTTTTTTCGGTGGCAAGACAGATAAGGATGATGTGTAAATGTTGACCTACATTATAAAAGTTATTCTTTAGTTCTTTTTGAAATGGGATGTGAGGGCAACAAACAGTGATAAAATTTATGCTCCTTCTATTTTATAATGAAATTTATTGTTCAAGCCTTTCTGACAGTAAAATTAAAGTTTTTTTGATTTATTTTCCTTTTTCTTCTTTGTTGCTACTGACATTTATTCTCTCTAGAGGAACATAAATGTTAAGGAACTGAGTAAGAACTAGTGAATGAAGATAGTATTTTCAAATTGTGTTGAAGTTTTCAAGATTTATTGGATTGGCGATTGTTGCTTAGCCTTGACCTACAAAAATTTGTTTATTTCTAGTCTGGGGTCGGACTTGTATGGGGTTTATCGATGAATTAGTTCATTATGGTCCTTTTTTTGCTCTTTAAAAAAAATCTTTTAAACAATATTTTTAAAAAGTTTAATACTATTTGATATTTAGTGTATTCCCTCCCCCTGATGTCCTTAATTCTATTGGGTTTCCTTGAATATGTCCCTACAGCAAAGGTGTCCAACCTTTTATGTACCATTGCACACCTTGCTGATAAGCCATGACCGAAACCACACAAGGCATACGTTTTTTGGTTGGCCACAGGACAAATTCCCCTTCTTCCCCACCACCAAAGTTTTTCCATGCAAATGTTTAGATTTAAATTCCTGGCTGCATCCCTGGTTGGACATCACTGCCCTAGCGCTTTACTTTATATTCATAAAATTCTCGAGGGAAAAATTATCATCAAGAAACGGTTTCTATAATTAATATGAGGAACCCCCCACCCCCAAATTTATTTTATATAACAAAGTGTACTAAGTTGATCTTTAATTTTTAGGGAGAAACGCACCGAATAGCCCTAGAAATTAGCCCTAGAAACCAGCCTTATATAACAAGCTTCATACTGTATTATAACCAAATTAAATGAAATTTTCTTGTTCAAACACTTTCTTAACTTTATTTGCTCTTTAAATCCCAAACATGACCCAGCAATTGTGAAAATTTTGAATCCAGTCATTCACTCAATCCAAATCCCAAAATAATTTTCTAAATTATTTCCACATCAAGACCTCATTTTAAAGGAGATAGCAAAAAAAAAATTCAGGAAATTTCTCATTTGAAAAGTGGTTAAGGAGCTTTAACAAAATTGATGCCCTCGTTGCGGTTTATTTTTTATTGATTTTTTTTCTAGTGAATTCACATAAATTCTTGCCTTCATCCTCTTCATGTTTATTTTGAACGGATGGAAAGCAAAAAATTCAATTAAATAGGAAAATTTATGCTTAACAATTTATTTTAGAATATTGAAAAGGAAGGAAGGAGTAGAAAGTTTTGTAAGATGGGAGATAAAATGAAAGTTCGTTAAAGGAAAGGTTTTTTTGAGGATTCCAGCTTAGATAGGAGTTTAGTAAGGTTAATATAGGTTGGCAATGGATAAGAATATGCATCTGACTAGAAACTTAAAATTCCGAAAAATTCTTTTAAAAAACATGAATTTTATTTTCTCATAGTTGTCATCCAAAAGCAATCAAGCTGTTCACTTCCATCCATGTCAAATAAATTTTCATTCAATTGATCCCCATTCGTCTGAATTTCATTGAATAAATTTCTTGATATTTTAATTCCATCCCCGCAAGTCAAGACGCTCAAAATAAAAATCACTCAACTTTTTCTATTCTCCATTCTTTCCATTCTAGACGCAGCAACTGCCATTTAGTGCCAAGTGTAGCTTTACTCCATAACAAGTAAGTAAGAAATGCTGTGAAACTTTTCATTTTGAGATCTTTTTTCTTTCAACATTTTTTCTTTCTTTCTGTTTTTTAGGATTAATCAACTCAACGAGTCGAAAGTCATTTCATTTTATGAGCGAAAGAGAAGTCCCTAAAATTGATTCAGCCTTTTTATTTCTTGTATTTTGTGTTTTACTTTTTTTCTTGTAAAAATAATTTGTTTTTTGAAAATTCTTTTCAATTTTTTATGATATGGAAATAAAATGTCGTCTTCATTATGAATTTATGTATTTTTCAATTTCAAAAGCTTTGCATTTTGTGTCTTTATCTCTCATTTTTTCGAGTCTCATTTTATGGCACAAAGTTATTTAATTTTATGTGTACTCTACCCACATTCATGCACTCTAAAATCCACATTATTTTTAAACTTGAATGAATGTCTTTTTAGTGTGTGCTTGTTACTTTTTACTTTCTTGTTCTTCTTTATTTTTTGCACATTTACAACTTTGAGAGATGTAGTGGGAGCTTTGAAATGTGGTTTTCTTTTGAGGATGTTGTAGTCAGATGTGATGTTGGTTTGTCTATGCATCAGACTAGCTTAGAACTAGCTTGGGATTGGGTGTAGTATTGAGATGGGTGTAGTAATGTGTTTAGTGTAGTATTGATGTCTTTGGCATAGAATATGCCTCCTTTGCTAGGTATACAAGGATATGCAAGCATTTGGATGATTTCATCACAGCATCTTGCTCACACGAATCATGACTAGGGACATTGTAGGGTACATCAGGTCTTATGACGTACTTGTGTCTTTGAAATGCGCTTAAATACCTACCAATACCTAAAAAGTTTTGATACAGTAGATTCTTTACAAATTGAATCGCAGTGCCTCCAGCTGAAATGCTGAGCCCTTCACACATTATTATTATTAGCGTTAAATTGAATAGAGCTTAAAGGAGAAATTTGAGGGAGTAACGATCAAGCACCTCACATCCTCAAGGTTCAATTTGCTTTAATAAACTATAGAGTCGTTCGAATTTGATTTTTAGGTTCTAGTTTCAAAATATCACAACCCTAGTAAAATATTGTTTAGATTTATTATTGAAGTAAATTGATTTTTTAAGGGTAGGATTCATCGGGAAGCTTTGGTAACCCTAATATCAATTAAAACCATAAAATTATAATGATCCTCGACTTAGATTTATATATAAACATTAACTATGGTACCTCTAAAAGACTAGCTCATCAGTTTGTGGCACAACAACACTAAAACGATAAAATATGCATTAAATCCTAGATAATCAGGCCCCACAAATGCGCATCTATCTTTTCAACCCCAAAAACACATCCAAACTCTCCATTCCATTCTCTTAGTTGCTCTAGTTTGAATGAAAAGAAAATGAATATAAAAGCAAACCAGTATTTTGAAACACATTAGATGCTTTCATACATAATTTTTATTATAATTGCGAATGGGTTTTTAACTAATGAGAAAAAAAAAGTTTTTTGTTTTCAACCGCAAATTATAATGAAGAAGTTTTTAAATTATAGATGAAAGAGTACTATTTGCGTCTTTTGTTTTTGTATGTTTGGGAATTGAAAGATGTGTGAAAAAACAGAACATTGATGTATTGTCATCTGGATAGCTTTATGCTTCATTGGAGGAATGTGGTATGTATGAGTATAGGGGTTGTTTAGTTGTGATGTTTGCGCTACTATAATCAAAAGATAGCCCACACATTTTTGATTCTAGTACGTCAATGAGCCCCAAAAAACGACCCAAAACATTTAGTTCGACTTGTATCTTAAAAATAAATTCTTGCGCTAAGACTTGAACCTATGATTGCTGTTTTTGGCAGAATATTTAGCTATTGATGTACTAGGGCTTCAAATATTAGTGCGTAGCCATGATTTTTTCTTAAAAACCTTAACAAAATGAAGAAATTACTGTTGACGTAAGGAACTTTGTACCCAAAATTATAATACTTGCACTTAAAAACCACCCTTCCCCCTGACTACTGGCTGTGAATATGCCTCGAAGAGCATAGGCTATGACTGGCTGTGGTATCTACCACTGGCTGTGGTAGATAGGCCGGAGAATAGGGCTCGGGTTGAAACTGGTTATATGTGTATGACGGATAGTCGAATTGAGATAAGTACCTCAATGTCTGAGTGGCAATGATTTCTGATCGAGTGGTCAGAGATAGCCTCTTTTAAGGTCGTGGGTTCGATTTCCATCGAACCCGGTTTGTTTTTCATTAGTATACTCATATAGCAAAACGTTACAAAACATCCAAATGACTACACAGTACGCCACATATATCATAAAAGCTATTCAAAGGATCTGATTTATGATTCCTAAACAATCGGAAAATTATTGAAATAAATTTTTGTAGCTTTACTTTGTTTGCTTACATTTCTCTAACTTATGATTTAAACGAAGCCAAAAACAACACAATTGAAGCCCCCTAATAAACATCTTCATAAATTCACAAATATTTTCATTTTCCAGATATTATTATTATTTCTTTATTCAAGACAATAGACACAAATAAATTTTATTACTCACAATAAATCCATAACAACGATTTTTATCCACACAAATATTTGCTGTTGTAGAAACACAACTCATTTTAGTCTTCTAATTCTTCAAATATTCCATCCCTCACCTCTGATAAAAGAATATTTTTTTTTTCTTTCAATTCTTAGTCTAACAAATTCCCGACTTTACTTTTAAGCTTACATATCATTTGGCTGCCGACATCCCTTTTACCGTTGCTTTTTTTTTCTTTTTCTAGTCATTCAATTCAATGTGTTTGTGAGAAAATCTTTTGTTGACAAATATGTCTACAAAAACGAATTTGTCGTCTGCATTCCATAAATGTTTTTTTTCTTTCTCTTCTATCCTTGTTCTTTCATTCATTCTCACAAATATAAAATTGTGTATGAATGTATTTTCCTATTTATTGTATGGGATGTATGACATAAACATAAAAAACGAGTCTATTGCTTGTTCATGTCTAGAATGTTGGAAATAGAAGAACAAAATATTTTTGTGCTTTTTTTGGGGGGAGTTTGTTTGGGATCGTCACTTTGGGGTTGTTTGGTTTGGACAAGACATAGCTTGGCTGTCGAATTTGAGACACCATTTGATGTCAATTAAGTTGGATATCAGGAAGGGTTACTGATACAGGAACTCATGAGGAACTCATGGTTACAATCGTTATGAAGCTTTGTTATTCATTTCATTGATCTAGCCACAAAATCATTTGCTGAATGTTTATTCCAGTTCTGGCATGGTCGAAGCCAGAATTGTTTTGAGACAGTTTGAGGAATATCTTGGCGTTTTGCAGCTTCCTGTAGCCTACAAAGGAAAGCTGTGAGCCTCATTTCCAGTAAATATGATTCGAAAAAGGACAAGTGAAAAATTTTCATACCCAGTCTCGAACCCATGATCGCTGTGTTAGTATTGAAATAATTAGGTACTGAAATACTAAACCATTCCGTCACCGAGCCACTTCAGCTCACAGCTCAGTTCAGGACAAGCTTAGAATTAATTTTGGATTAGGTAAGATTTAGGTTCGGACTAGGTTTTTTAAAACCTAGATAAAGACTATGCTAGGACTTTGTTGACATAAGGTTAAGACATGATAATGACAATATTAGAACTTGGTTGACAGTATTTAAGGACTATGTTAAGAATATGTTAAGATTACTCAAGACATAGTTTAACCCTACTAAGTTATGAATAGGTTGAGACTAGTTTGAACTACTCAGAGTTTATAGTAGTATTATTAACGATGTAGCGTTCAGACTTGCAGAGTGACTTATTATAGATCAAAATCCTTAAAGCTATCGCCAATACAAAAATCACAGCATTTACTTATCAAATCATTCTAAAAATGCGCCTTATTCTATCCCCAAACACCCCTATTTGACCTTTCAACATTCCCAAATTCTACCTAAGCTATGCTAAACAGCAAAAGTGCCATCACTTCTATTGCCATATACATACGTACTCTTCAGCCATTTATGCTACTGTTTGCTTTTAATAGAATGATAAACTTTTTTCTTTGTATGTTTTTTTCTGCCTCGCTGAAAAAGTCAAAAAAATCGGTGGTAGTGAAAAAATACATAAAAACAGCAATGGTTGTGCTTTTCTTTCATATTATTTTTTTTTCATGCCATAAAAAAGTCCTCGACAAGAAAATAGAAAATTCATTTTATTCTGTTTTGACGAAAAAAAAAGTTTCAAGCTCATAACAATCTCATTTATTCTTAATTCTCCATGAACATTATTGAGCATGAAATTTTAATATTATGGAAATATCAGCTATGTTGTTTATCTATATTGAAGGATAATAATATTGAAGGTAAGTAATCCAATGCAATTCATGTTATGACTATATGGATACAAATCTTATTATGTGCCATGATCATAGTCGAGCATTTTCCATATGATAATATTTTCAAAAGGGATTAGAAATAGTTTTTGAAGGGATATTAAGGTGATAATGAAATATTGGAGCAGGTATGATGAATATTGGATCTAAGAGATGACGATGAAAGGATTTGAATGAGAAAATTTGTGAATGGATCATTTTTTTAAAGTTTTAATTAAAATTTGGCACAGAAAATGGGATGTTGGACTAGAAGTGGCCACGATTTCAGCTCTGACTAAGTATAAGCATTTTTCAAAAAAAAAAAAATCTGACAGGATTTTATGCGAAACTTTGTTGCTCAAAAGTGCGCAGTTGGACATCCTTTTCAACACACAAATTAAATGCCACTCAAAAGTACAATCCACATAGCATTTTCATATTCCTTTAACTTAACTTTTCACTCCTCAAGTTAATTTCATTTTCCCTTCATTTTAATCCACTTTGCTTTAAATACAAATTTTACTCAAGAAATTCAATTTTCTTTAAACTTCACCTTCAGAACAAGACGATGAAAATGAAGAAAAAATTTTACAAGCACCCAAAATTGCTCCTTTTAATCTTCCACATCCACTTCTCATCATCATAATCGCTATGTAATATGCAAATTACTTCTTATATTGCTACATTCTGAATTGAATTTTCTACTTCCTCACATTCATCTACATGAATTTATTCATATGTAAATTTATATGATTTTTGGATATTTAAAACTTTTT